CAATGCCTTACAATGCCATACACTATACCAGTTAGTGCTCACCTCAAGCCTCACGCAATCACAACAACACAAACACAGGTAGGAAAACACCCATCCCTTCGCCCGACACACACACATTGTTTAGTACAATAAATACATTATTATTAGGGAAGAATTGTTTAATTTGTTGTTTTGTCACTTCATTCAAATGTTTGCCAAATATAACAATTGATTATATTTTGTAAAATATTTATTAATAAAAAGATCTGTCAAATGAATGATAACTAAATTAATGCTTTCCTTTCGTTTACTTTACTTTTATGATTATTTTGTCAAAACATCACAAGTTATAGAGAAAAGCATTTCTTTCTTGAACTTACATTTCTATACAAATATTTTGTTAATAATCAGTACTAATCATGAGTTGTCATTAAAATAATGGATAATTCAATAATTTATGTGAATTATTGCCGCAATTGTTATAATTTATTATTGACTTAAAAATAATTGAATTATTTTCAGTTAAAGTGGCGAAGAATTGGAAAGGATTTTGTTTTCAGCGATTAATGTTTTTATTTGCATTGAATTTTGTTGAGAAAACGATTTCGTGACAAAATATCTTAATTTTATAATAAATTAATTCATATTTGAATTTATAAAAGAGTAAAAGTCAATGACATTTGATATGAAAAATGAATATCTTATGATATAAATGAGTTGTAGTCAAAGGTTTTGGATAGCGTTTCGATTGTGTAATGTATTCCCAGCATATATTCACTCTATATCTAACTTATACTATAATTATTATGTTATATAATGTGAGCTATGGTTTAGTAATCTTTCATCAAAGCACGTATACCTTCAAAAAAGCTCAACATATTTACATTTGCTTTTGAAAACTCATTCAAATGTTATTAATTTATGTTATTTTAGTATTAAAATGTGTTGTTAATTAAAGCAACACTTTTTTCGCATTAATATACATTCAACTAAAATCTCGGAAATGTTTCTGTAATTAAACGTCAAATGAATTATTAATTTATTCATTTGTTTCAATTGAAAGTTGAAATACTGTCCAAAAGTTTGCGATTTATCAAAATTATAATTAAATTTCGTTTAAAATACCATTTGAGTGATTGTTTTGTTTTATATTTCATTTGTTATTAAGAAATAGAGTACTTATATATCATATTTGGAGAATATGTTGTAAATGTTGAAAGATTTTTCAGTTTTCCGTTTCTTATAATATTTATTTTACTTTAGACTCAATTGTCATAAAATGGCTTTAAGTTGTCATAAAAATATTTTTATTACTTTTTTGTTTTGATTTTATTTTATTTCGTTTATTTTGCTAATAATTATTTATATTTTATTGTATTCATCGCCTGTTATGTATAGTTAGAGAACATTTAAAGTGAAAATTGTTTTTCATTTCCAAACAAACTGCTAACCATTGAGTGAAATGATTGGCGTTTTTTTCTTGAATTGATTTTGTCTCCCAAAAAAGACATGTCTTGGGAATGAAATAAAGAAAATTAACATTTTGTTGTTAATGGCTTTGCTTTCCCTTTCTTCGCCTCAGAATTGAATCCAAACAAAAAAGCTCTCAATATATCGATGTATTTTGAATGCCTTTTTGTCTCAAATGGAAAAAATATTATAATTAATGTTTTTTTCTTTGATTTTAATTTCACTACAAATAAATGTTTATTCAATTGAAGTGCACTTAAGCTGTAATAAGTATTCATTTGTGTGAGAAATTGTTATCATTTTTTATAAACTTTGAACAAATATTACTAAAAATATTATCGGATAAGAGTTTTTCAGTTGAATAGTCGAAAATGTCTGCAAGTATTACAACAGCTGTTCCCCCGGTTTTGGTGTTTAGTATTGTTGGTCTCTCTCTCTCTCTCTCTCATTGTGTATATGTCTTGAGCCTATGCTTACATTTTCTGTCATTACCTCTCAACACACCTTTAACTACAGGCAGTCATTACTTGTATTGTTCTCTCTCTCTCTCTCTCTCTCTCTCGCTGTCATTGTGTGTGAGGATGGGATGTGTTGCAGTCGTCAGTCGTCTCCCAATCCGTGCTCCCAAACATTGTATGTGATTGTATGCCAACTCTCACACAGTCATCAAGTATTGTATTTTTGAGCTTTTTTCACTCAAAACTGATACACAACCCCATAAACCACACATCGGTAGTCAAGCCATACACACAAACGGGGGATAAAAAGTTTTTTGACGCGTGTGTCTGTATATAAGGCACCGGCTTATGAATTATTGGGATATACTGTTAGATATATAGTGAAGTATTAGTAGTAAAGCAATACATAACTCACAGAATTTTCAAAACAGTTTAAAATTAAATTTACTCTCTATTGAAACGTTGGCTTCATTTTTGTATTTCTCCTTTTCATACGACTCGAGCCCTAAATGTATTATAAAAATCCAATAATAATCATTGAAATCGAAACCGTTGATCGACTCAAACACTTTACTGCACTTCACGTCCAAACAGAGCAGACATTTGGAGAAACTTCTTTTGAATTACAAATACATTCATTTATACCGCAGTTTTAGTGCCAAATGTGGCTTAAAATCGGGTCCGAAATACTTAGGCGTTTGGAGAGAGTTATCCTTTAATTGTATGGATGGTTAGTGTGTGAGTGCAACAGTGGGTTACAGTTATGGAGGGAGAGAGTGATGGCATCATCGGAACCACTGTTTCGTTAGATTATAAGTCATCCATCCGTCTAAACATCGTATCCATTGTCACCCATTGGATGAAATCATCTCTCTTTGAATGCCACACATCAATGAATAATAGTATTGCCTTTATATACAATCGCCGCTATATTTGCACGCATTATGTCCACCAAATTGCAGTCATGTGTGCGAACGGAGGGCTATATCGGCCCTCCCATTGATTTTTGGCCAAAGATTTTCCCAAACAATAATCACTGACTTCTGAGTCTAATTTAAAGCACTTTTATGTTTCGCTATAAAAGATTTCTAATGTAAATAAATGACTCAAATTTAGCTAATTTTGTGGTTTTTTGATATTAATGTAACCAAAACTGTGGATTAAAAGTTGGGTGGAAAGAGTGGTGTGTATTATATAATGCTATCTCAAGTATGTTAATGTAAATACTCGCACAATCAGTACCCATCACAACCCCTCCCATTCCCCCTCCGATTGCCTCGTATTATGAAAAGAGCAATATATAGCAAAAAATTGATTACAAGCCCTCCTGTGCTCTAAAGAAGTTTAAATGACTCACAACTGATCGCAAACACAATCTCCAAACTCCGGGAATTAGTTTTTTAATGCCAGACTCCTCTCCATCTCTCTCTCTCTCCAAAACTGATACACAACCCCATAAACCACACATCGGTAGTCAAGCCATACACACAAACGGGGGATAAAAAGTTTTTTGACGCGTGTGTCTGTATATAAGGCACCGGCTTATGAATTATTGGGATATATCAATGGATACGATGTTTAGACGGATGGATGACTTATAATCTAACGAAACAGTGGTTCCGATTATGCCATCACTCTCTCCCACCACACACATTGGTATTTGAAGCTAATTGTATTGATATTAGTATTGAATGTCTGAATATTTCATTATTTTGTTACATCCAATAAGTGATAATATCTTGAATTGATATATAAATACATATTTGATGTCCACTATAGGAGCAGAATGTGGTTGTCATCAATCATATGGGTTTCACTATTGGTTTCTGTCCAACACATCCAACCGTCCGTTTGTCAAACTCTCAAATATTTCGGTCAAACCGGGAATGAAATAAATCGCGATCTCATACAACAAGAGCCGTAAGTAAAACAAATGCATTGAAATGTTAACTATTGTTATATTAATATTGATGCTGTGATGAAAATTACTATTTTCTTGTTTTTATTTAAAAAACACATTTCCCTTCATTAGAAGAATTTATTCATTTTTTGTTACCATAACATGAATCCCTGGAAATGTGTTCACTCTTATACCCCAAAGCTATCATTTCTTACTAAACGTTTAAATTATACCTCATATAAAAATACAACTTTAAAAATATGAAAGATTTGCAGCAGAAAATGCCATTAAATAATTGTTATCTGACTTATGTATTGCGCCCTATAATCGCCCAAAAGGTGTTAAATTATTTTTTGTTGCTTTTGCTTTTGAGTTTTTCAAATCGACGCTTAAACATATCATAATTATATTATCTATGATTTTGAAGCGATTCCTAATTATTGTGAAAAATTATTTTTCCACACTTTAAGCCATAGAAGGGAATGACTTCTATTGAAACAAATGTTTGTGAATATCCGACAAATTGTTGTGTGTATACAATATTATGTAATATTGGATACACAATGAGTTTACGGCATAACTTGACGTTAACTTCTGTTTCCACTTCATTCACACACACTATTCATCTCTATTTTATATAATCTCTTGGTTTTCATAAATAATTACAATATTTGTGAAGACATGAGAAAATTGTTAGTAATAATAGGCAGTGAATAATAGTCACGGAATAGACCTTAAGAGGAGAATGAGAGGGAATGAGAGGTTGTGTTTGATTTGTAATTCTCAACAAATGTTTCTTAAGGGAGTTGTAAAAAATCGATGTCTATTCGACTTCGAGCCTCAATTCGGCCAATGATAACATCAGACATGACAGCAATCATGACTTGAAATACTGTATAATATCTCTGTATTTCATGTATTGTTCTATGCATTCATTCCCAAGCCATGAGTGGAGGGGTAGATAAGTGAGAGTTAGTTGCCTTTCCGTCTATACCGGGGATCACAATCCGATCTATTGTTATATACCATAAGAACATAAGTCTATCTCAACGTTTAGACTGTCATCCAATTCATATTTATATTATTAGACACAGTATTCACTGTTTGCAACTGATATCCATACCCAACACATCATCTCTCGCTCTCCTCTATCGCCCATCTATTTATTCCGCTTTCCCTCCACTATATTATCTGACTTTTCATATCATATCTGAGAATAACTAAAACAATTTTATTACTTTTGCCTGACTCTAGAGGTATGACTTAATATCTGAATCAATATTTTACGAAATGTTGTGTATTTGAGGGGGAAAAAGGATGACTAAAGAGAAGTTTATATTAAAAAGCGAAACTAAGAGTAATGTCTAAAAAGCATACTTTTTATAATCAAATTCACTTTTATTACATGTTATTTCAGGAAATTCTAAGCAATATGTAAACTAATGTTTTTATGTTTCTTTTGTGTAATCATTTAAAGCATATTCTCTTTTCATCTCTATATATGTTTTCGTCTTCTTTTTTAAAAGCAAAAGTCTGTGAAATAGTCTCTTAAATACACGAGACATACATGTATTGATTTTATCAATTAATTAGAAATTTGTTACATAACTCCCAAAACATTGAATTTACATTAACTGCGAGGCGTTTGAGACATAAAAATAAGTAATTTTCGATATATTGAACGCTTATCTCTCTCATGCAGAACATACTTCGTGTTGGCCTCGAAAACCTTACGCCCGGGTCAGGTATACCGGGTGTCGGTGACAGTCTATCGATCAAATTTACCCATAACTGTGAGGGCATCCATACAGAGGAATGGCGTCGAAGTGACCGCTTCTGTCCAGGAATGCAAAGAACGCATTCCGGAGACACTTCTCCTTCGGGTTCCGCCGACTTCCAGACCTGGCGTTTATAAACTCCGAGTGGAGGGGAATGTGAATGGAGTGCTCGGCGGCACAGCTTTCTATAATGAGACTTATCTGGAGTTCTCTCAGCGATCGATGACTATATTTGTCACCACAGATAAGCCAATCTATATGCAGGGACAGACTGTCCGCTTTAGGGCCATACCTATCACCACTGATTTGAAAGCATTCTCCGATGCCATTGATATCTATATGCTTGACCCGAGAGGTGCTATTATGAGGAGATGGCTCTCCAGACAAAGCAATTTAGGTATCAATTGTTGTTTAATTTTACGCTCGCCTTTTGTATGCTATTTATATTTTATTTGCAAAACACAGGAGCTGTGAGTCTTGAATATCCATTGTCTCAGCAACCGGTTTACGGACAGAATTGGACTATCCGTGTGGTAGCGCAGGGACAGGTCGAAGAGAAACAGTTTGCTGTCGAAGAATATTGTAAGTATTTGTTACAATAATTTTTGCCTAATTTTTTTTATTGTGAATAGATTTTGGTCTTTTAGCGCATAAACATAACTATCTTTTTATAACAAAATATAGATATGAAAGCGTTTTTAATAGAATCTGTTTTCTGTTTAATCGAAAAGCAATATATCATTTGCTTATGACTCTCTTCTTCATTCAATTTTGAGCTATAAATCATTTAAGAAACACAGAAAATGAGCACTTCTTTGCACAAAACTCAATGAATATATTCTGCAATTCTTACAAAACTAAACATTTTTGTAATAACAGATCAGACGAGGTTTGAAGTGAACGTATCGATGCCGGCTTTCTTCCTCCAAACAGACAGCTATATATACGGCTCTATTATGGCTAAGTATGTCCTAATCGTTAGCAGACTTTTTTCGTCTGCTATCCCTTTTTCCTAATGATTTATGACATTTATATGCTGTGCTATATATAGCTTCACGAGTGGTGTACCAGTGATCGGCAATCTTACAATAGTCTACACACTTCTCTCGTCCAACAAACAAATGGTTTCGCAAAATTATTTCGATAGGCCGGCCATTGAGACCACAGAACGATATGTCAGTTTTGCTTATTTTTTTAGTCATGAAATTTGTTGTTTTAATGCTTTTTTGTTTCGTCTATCAGTTTAAAGGATATTATGAATTTCGGCGCCCAATGACTGAAATCATAGACCAATTGGGCGGCGGGTCGGCGCTCGACGGGGCGAAGATTACGGTCACGGCGTTTGTTGGCGAACGCTTCTTAAACCTGATCTATTCAGGTCACGCCCGCGCCTACATCTTCAGCTCCAAAGTGAAGCTCAAACTGTTGGGCGCTTCGCCACAAGTGTTCAAACCTCCGATGCCTTTCAAAGCATACGCCGCCGTCTCCTTCAACGACGGATCGCCCCTTCCTTTCGATCGTCTTATTTACGAGAAACTGGAGGTTCGCGTCAAAGTCCAGTTCAACCGTCTGGGCTCTAAGATGTTGCCCCCGATGCAAGTGCCCATGTCTTTGAACAATCCGGGTCTTTGGGAGATCTCAATCAACTTAAAAGAGGAACTTAATAGCAAACAACTTATAGAAGACGTGCAATACTTATCGCTCGACGCCTTCTTCAGAGATGCCAACGGAGAGACTATTCGCGCCCAAGAGCTCAGGGCTTACGGCAGTTATTCGCCGACCGAACGCTTGATTCACATCTCGACGTCTACTAAACAGCCCAGAGTTGGCGAATACATTATATTTCACGTCCGAACCAATTATTACGTGAAACTATTCTCGTATGTAATCATTTCGAAGGGAGTGGTTCTCATCAACGGTAGGGAAGAGATGTCTTCATCCATAAAGACATTTGCGGTCAGTTTGTCGCCAGAAATGGCGCCGACGGCCACTATAGTAATCTACGATATCGCTCGCGGCAGTGAAGTTGTGGCCGATTCGCTGACATTCCCAGTGGACGGCATTTCGCGCAATAACTTTACGGTTACTCTTAATAACAGGAAAGACAAAACGGGTGACACTATCGAAGTGGTAGTGTTGGGACAACCGGGTACTTATGTAGGCCTTTCAGCGCTCGACAAAGATCTATCTCTATTACAAGTCGGTAATCAAATAAACTATGCGGACGTCTTAAGAAAGATGAGCACATTTGACCCATCAGTCACTGCCAGGAATGGGACGCTAACTCATCTCTGGCTCTCGAGAGAGGGACGCGTCGATCGATTCCTTCATTTTCCGTCGCCTTCCTATGGAATCGACGCAAACAAAACATTTGATGTAAGAAAACAAATGATGATAATTTTGAGATACATTTTGTTTTATTAAATAATTTTTCAAAACACAACGAAAAAAGATTTTCCATTTTAACAATTCATCATAAAATCAATTTAAAGCGAGTTTTAGAGTGAAAGCAATGAGTGATATATCATATGTTTCGTAGCGAAGCCTTGTTTTTCAATTTCACTGTTTGACTGAAACAATAGATTTGATAAATAATTTATAAAAGGATAGCGAAAAGCAGTAGAAAAGCAGAGATTTACTTAAAAATCAATATTTTTCAAACAAATTCATGCATTTGTTTCAAAGCGAAATTTGTTGTGAAATGAGTTTTCGATAATTTTGTTGAATTTTATATATTTATGACAAACACTTAAATTGCTTTAACTTTATTAACGCACCGAAAAAAGTGAAGTTATAAAAAATAAGTGACGAATAAAATCATTTTCTTTTCCTGACGATTGATTATTGTTTAGTTATAAAGTCAGCAAAAATTTAATATAAACTTTTCTGAATTATCTTTCTTTTCGCAAGTCTTTGTGCGAATCCTATAATTTCAAAGCGAATCATAAAAATAGCGTTTCAGTCGTTTTGAATCATTTCTTTTTAAAGTATATAATCTTTTTTCTTCGCGAAACAGTTATTTAGACTTCACTTTGAATGCATTGATGTATTCATAATATATTTGTATTTCCCTTTATATCTCTCATATCTCTATAATCTTTCAATTGATTTTCAAAAAGAAGATTTCATATTTAGAAATATCAGATTTTGATCTTAATTTGTTGTGATTTTGATTTTGAAAAAACCAATTTCATTGACAGAGCGCTGGTCTGGTTATCTTCACCGACGCTAACGTAACCCAAAAGTATGATAATTGCAATCAAACGCTGGGCTTCTTCTCCTGTTTGGACGGAACCTGTTATCACACGTCAAAGACTTGTGACGGAAAGTACGACTGCAGGGATGGCACAGACGAGGGCTCGTGTAAGATAGCAATCTCGCAATGAATTAACTCTTCAACCAAATGAATACACTTTGAATTCAATCTTCTTTTCTGACTCTAATTGTTTGCCATAATATCTTAATCTTTTAATCAGACTTTTTCTTAATTATGAATAATTGGAGCGAAAAATAGAGTTTTTAATTAAAAAACTGAGAAACAGAAAAAGGAAAGAATCGTTTGTTAAATACAATAAAGTTTTTTCTCGTGTCTTAATTCAGGCCCAGAAAAGGATGACTACAATTTGGTTCAGTTTAGGATGAGTCGTACCAATCGATTGCAGCGTTTGTATGACAACACTTGGCTCTGGAAAGACATTAACATTGGGTTAATATTTGCAACATTTAGATATCGCACACATTTATAACTAAACAATTTTGCATTTAATGATAGACCGCTCGGATATTTTATATTCAAAATTCCCGTCACCAACGCTCCGGTCACTTGGATTGTCAACGCGTTCGGTATGTCGAGCACCAGTGGCTTTGGTATCCAACAGTCAAACATCGAGTACTCGAGTGTCCGACCGTTTTATATGAACGTTGAGATGCCGTCGGTTTGTGTGATTGGGGAACAGATAGGCGTTCGGATCAGTATTTTTAATTACTTGCCGTACGAGATAGAAGTGATTGTAGTGTTGGCCCGATCTTACGATTATAAGTTCGTTCACGTCGAGTCCTTTGGCAGAGTTCAGGTCTCATTCAAACACTACATTCTTGTTAACAACAATCTCTAACTTCTCTTTGTTTCCCATAATTAGTCTTACAATCCGCGGACATCCTATGGACAGCACCAGCACTTGATTCTGGTATTATCTCATTTGATATTAAATGCGTGACATTTTCTAACAGTGTTTGAATGCACAGATATATCCGGGCAGAACATCAGTGGTTTATATGCCAATAGTTGCCCAACGATTGGGTGATATAAATGTTACAGTTATGGCCAAAACACAAGTGGCCAAAGATGCTGTGACCAAAACGCTGAGAGTAGAACCGGACGGCGTTCCGCAGTTTACGCACACAGCGGTTGTGTTGGACTTATCTCAAGGCGCATACCTTATCAAGTATTTGGAGACTAATGTCACCGAAAGTCCAATCATACCATACCGTCAGGAAAGGCGATACGTTTTCGGCTCAAACAAAGCCAAGATATCAGTGGTGGGCGATGTCGTGGGCCCCGCCTTCCCCTCTATGCCAATGAACGCGACCTCAATGTTGCGAAAACCGTTTGATTGCGCCGAACAAAACATGTTTAACTTTGCGATCAATATGTATACACTTTTCTATCTGAGACTTACGGGTCAAAGGCGTTCAGATTTGGAGAAACAAGCGTTTAAATACTTGAATATCCAATACCAGAGACAATTGAGTTACAAGAACGCCGACGGCTCGTTCCGGGCCTTCCGCTGGAACAATAAGCCCAGCGTTTGGATGAC